CATTACCTTGGCAGGAAACAAATTGCGGTGCTCCTACTGTTAGACTACTCCAAAGCTTTCGACCTACTTGAACATAAAATTTTGCTTAAAAAACTGGAACACTACGGAATTAGAGGTATAGCACTGAGCTGGTTCGACTCCTATCTTCACGATCGTCATCAGTTCGTCACAGTCAACGGGGTTGATTCCAGTCCCAAGACGATCAATTATGGTATTCCTCAAGGCTCTATTCTGGGCCCCCTACTCTTCGTCATCTATATAAACGACCTCCCCGGAATCTCAGACCTGGCCAAGTTCATACTTTACGCCGATGATGCAAATATTATAGTCACGGGCCATAACGAGGAAGAAATTCAAAGTAAGCTCTCTATGATTGCAACACTTCTAGTGAATTGGGTAAGTAGCAACGGGCTTTCTTTAAACCTGAAGAAGACCCACTATATGGTCTTCAGTAACCGTAAAGTAGATTATTCCAAAATAAGTCTCAACATATCTGGAACAAACATTGAACGGGTTACTGAGGCACGGTTTCTGGGTGTTATAATTGATGAGAAACTAACATGGTGTAAACATATCACAGCGGTAAGATTAAAAATGAGTAGGTACATAGGCATCATGTTCAAATTAAAACGACATCTGCCCCTAAAAGTGCGACTACAACTCTACCATAGTTTTATTGAGGCACATGTTAACTACTGCTCGTTAGCCTGGGGATTCGCGGCAAAATGTCACATTGAGACATTATTCCGTAAACAAAAGCAAGGAATGCGGATGGTTATGCCAGGATATGTAAATTACTTTTACAAAGACGGCAAATTGCCAGCTCACACCAGAGAAGCATTCTGCAAATTTGAGATTTTGACAATACACGGCATCATCGTAAAGAATGCGCTTACATTAATGCACCGCATGAAGCACTTTCCTAACACAGTACCTGTATCAATTAGAAATTTGTTTCCAGATAACATACCCACGCATGGTTCAAATCATGAGAACAGTAGCGAATGGCTAGATACGTACAATAACCGATGTTTCAAAGCATCCATCTTTTTTAAAGGACCTTTACTAGCTCTAACAGACACCAACAAGAACATCACGTCCCTACCTAGCTTATTTTCAATAAATATTTACAAATCGAACGCAAAACGCGTGCTTCTTGAGCAACAGTCAACACTAGCTAACTCAGAGGACAGCTGGCCAGCATTTCTGCTACACAACGTACCTGGTTTGAGGAAGTCCAATAGATGAGGGATGATTGAGTAATACAGCGACCAATAATCGCTAAATCATGACATCATATCATAACATAACATAACATAGGACGACAGCAAACACACAATAAACGAGCAGTAATAAACAACGTTCGCTTAATGGACTGACATATTTCAGCATATTTTTCACTGCCAAAGCGCTGATAACAGCAAGCCTTACCCCACTCCGCGCGGCTTTTTAATGCACAAAATCTTAAAAATAATTCTCGCGATAAAATTTTCATCGTCACGCTTGAAAATTTCTAGAAATTAGAATAGCCGTATATTATAACAAACTATAGCAAGCAGAATTAAAAGATAAAAGGTTCTGGGACTTAAGTGGTACAAATAAAATGAAAGGCATGCTGATGCTAATCATGCTTACGTACTGTAATGTGTCGAGAGTTTTTTTTTATTTTTACTATTTGACAAAATAATTAATCTTTTTAGTGTGAGTGTGATTTCAACTTTGAGTTTGAAAATATTTTGAAACGACTTTCGATATTATTGATTATTATACAGGGTGGGCCAAAAGTCAGTGTGCAAACGTTGGGTCTTATACCTCCGCCGTGTTTTATATTTGAGAGCTGTTGCTTTGCAGATGGCATACTGTACTTACTGGTTCGAGGATTCCGTCGTCAAAATTTGAAAATTCGAATATTTTAGACCACGCCCATTCAATACTAAAACACCTATATTGTTTTCTCTGAACAGGCTGAACGCCTAATTTTTTCAGAGACGGTAGATTATCAAATGTTGCATATTATCTGAAAACATGAGGCAAAACGGATTAGAAATGACGAAGTTATCAAGCATTTTGTGTATCTCGTTAACAAAATTGACTGGGTGATTATGTGACACCGTGACACGACACCTTAATTGGGCACCCTTAACAATTCCCATAATGTTTAACGGGGTAGTTAACGGGGTCACCTTATCACGTGATTAGGTAAACCAATCACCTGATCACACGTAATGAATAAACTCGTTATGCTTCGTATCTCGGTCATCTGAGAAGCTACAGTTCTGATTCTTTCAGGACAGACGTAATTCGAATGGCCAAACACAATTCGATAACATTTAGCTTGATCCGACTATCCAAACTATAAAATAAATGTAAAAATGAACCTCCATTTGAAAAAAATGAACGCGAATATTTTTCGAGTTGAAAAATTCCTCGAACCAGTGGTGGTACTAAGTCATACCAGAAGGAAGTATTTCAATTGGGCACTCAGTGACTGAGCTATTAAGGCCAACGTTTGCACACTGACTTTTGGCCCACCCTGTATTATATTTAATAAACTGTCTCAAAGCCCTTAGAGGTGGCTCTATACGGGTCTTTACAACACACTTTTTTAGAAATTTTACCCGGCGTATCCTCTAAAAATAAAATCATCGAACTTGTTCAATTTTAGGGAGGGTCGCCAACAGGGGAGGAGGCAGGGAGGCGATTTTTCAGGGGGAGGGGGTCGCCAATAGTTAAGTCATTCCCGATCTCATTTTTAAATCCCGGGATTCGGGAATCCCGACCGAAATGAATCCTGGGATTCCCGAAAATCGGGAAAAATTTCCCGGATTCCCAAAAATCGGGAATTTGCCGGGATTTCCCGGAAATCGGGATTCCCGAATATTGAAAGTTCGTTAAAACAAATAGTGCCAATCCTGGAGTTTGACTACGAGTTTCATAAAAGTGCACTTGAAGCAGTATAGAGTGTCAATTGCAATTTTGATTAGAATTTTCTAATTCTAGTCTTTAGAACTTTCGAACAGTGTTTACAATTACATTGAGCAAATCCTAATTTGGGTACATGTCCCTTTTTGAACTGCTGCCAAGCAGCAGAAAATTTCGAAGGTTTCACTATGACTATGAGTCACAAAAAGCGAAGAAGAATCATTTTGAGAGTGATCTTGAACCTCAAGAACTTCTACATCGTCACCTGAATTCGCATTAGACTCGGACATCTAGCTTTGTTTGCAAAAAGTAACAAAGTCGGAATGATTAACACAATTGACGTGTTATGTAAACGGAACCAACTCGCGCGCAGCGAAGTAATTATTACACTCTATCTACAGAACTAAAGACAAAGCGGTCGGATCAGCAATCAGGCAGTTATAAATCAAGAGGCTTGCATATAATGAACATATTGACATGGGTGCAGAGTTGAGTCTGTACGGAACCTAGTAGTTTCAGTTCCTTGTTTAACTTTAACTTGCCGTACAGCAAGGACATCCACTACTTTAGCCCGGCGAGGCACATAGCTCACTTTACAACTCCGTGTCAAATGTTTCATATATACTATTACTAGCCAAGTTCACAAGATATATCCTTGTGTTTGAGAAGCGCTCGTTAGAACTGCTTCCTTTCCCTTCAGTATCCCACAGTCTCTCGAGTTTCGTAACTGCCAGAGAGCTCTCTTATAGATGCGCGCATATTTTACAACAGTACAACATGAACACGTACGTGCAACGTAACATAAAATAAAAACACGTGTGGCGATGAATATTATATCATGATCATTTATTACCCAGCGTGAGCATCGAAGATTCGAGTATTAGCTTATTTGGGCGGGGACCCCAGGCTATTATATTTCATAAAGATTCGGCGGAATGATAAGCATTAGCAAGCTAATCTAGGCGCTAAAATTTTTTTAATTACATTGCATAAAATGTCCCAAAATTCGGGAAATAAAAAAATTTCCCGGTCGGGAATTTTAGGTCAAAAATGGTCGGGAAATCCCAGGATCGGGAATTCCCGACATCGGGATTGACTTCACTAGTCGCCAACAGGCAAAGTTACGCCACTGTGGGAGGGGTTTCCAAATGATTACGCTATAGCGGCTATAACGCTTGTGTAATTTTGACATTATAGCTATGTGTAAACTGATTTCGGAGGAGGGGGGGATAAAAATGTTCCAAGTCCAACAAATGATTACGTAATACTAATATGTGAACGACCCCTATGGAGATGATATCCACGCGCACGGTTGAGCACAATCCTACTGCAGATCCCAGCTCCAACAGATCCTGGTAACCATCAGATGAAATTGAAACTCGTGAACGATGAGGGTGGATCGCCGTCGAGGTGTGTTGGGGACGACTCCTTCCACCACAAACTGGTATCAGGGGTTAACCGACGACGTGTTGTACCGACACCAGACAACACGACAGATAGGAGGAAACTGGGGGCAGGGTAATTGTTCAAATACTACATGATCCTGATATTTTCCATTTTCTAAACCATTTTCAACACAAGACAAATTTGACACATTTTATGGAATTTTCGTCCAGTGATTAATTAGTCAGCTAACTGGGGATGGTAGGAAAACAAATTAAGGTATAGGAAGTTGAAATCCCCGACAAAAACCATAATCCTCCCATTTTTTCTCACCCAAATTGCACAGTTTTGACCGGATTTTTCTCCAGAAACCAATTAGTCAGTCAACTATAAAATTAAATAGTGTATGATATAATTGAGGTGCTAAAAGTTTGATTTCGGTCTGACTCTGAGGTCCCATTTTCAGTTTTAGAAGATGAAATTTCCAGGACCGAAATTTTACAGTTTTGATTAAATTTCACAGCTGCAACCAATTAGTCAGTCTACTATAAATGGCATATGACACTATTGAGGGGCTGGAAGTTTGATTTCGGTCAGAGGAAGCTCAGAGCAGAATCAAGAATGCTTCACAAAACGAAAATATGAAAATTAATTGTTAATCAAAATCTTCGACAAAATGGAAAATCATTATGTAAGTATTATGTTGGATTATTTTACTTATTTGTGAGCTTTGAAAATCAAAATCTTGATTCGATTATTGTTTAATGGACATTTGACGTTAGTAAGAACGATGCGTTGATTACATTAGCTGATACTAAAAGGTGATTATTGCTGCCTATCATCGTAATAAATGTATCTTTTTGTTCCCCTTTTTCATAACTTCTATCAGCTAAAAGTAAAATGTGTACGGACGTTAAATTATTTAAACAAAAGCGAATAAAACGGTGAACGTTTTTCAACGAACACAGAACAACAGTCATCTTTTCTGCATATTCATAGGAGTTATTTTAGTCGTACCTTAAATTTGGATGATTTATAATTATTGCAATAACCACGACAAATATGAAATACGTCAAGGAAGCTCAATTGCCTTTCATTTATTAAAACTACTTATTTGCCCTACGTTATTTTGTCCATCTTCGTATGGTCGCTAGTTTTTTGTTTTTATACATGGTTAGAGTGTTGAGATCTGTCGGGAGATTCTTGTTGAGTGGATTGAGAGAGAGGTTCTCCACTAGCAGTGGAATCCTTCTGCTCTGGGACATTCTTCCTCATTATTCTCTGCAAAGTTTGTCCAATAGTTTGAGGTCGCTCTCCGTTCTTCCATCTCACTGTCATCCTCCTGACAGTTTCTTTCTCGTCAGCACTGAGATATGATAAGTAACAGTCCCGACAAGGTTTACTGATCTGTACGTTCACCAGGATCATTATCACCAGGGAGAAGCTGGCCATGAGGTGCCAAATATCGTGGGAGCTGTAGAAATCATCAGCGAAACACTCTGAGTTTAACTCTCGTGAGAGCCAGGGAGATGTTGATTTGTTAGTGGTCTCGTATTTGGAGAAGAAGATGAGTGAGACAGCACTGAAGACACATCCTATCAGGACGTATATCACCATTATCAGAGTTATAACAATCTGATTACTGCCCCAAAATCTCAGTTCTCCACAGGATACTGATCCTATGTTGTTCTTCCGGACCCACACTATTAAATTGTGCATTACCGGGATAAACGTTATGCAGGTAAGCGCCTGAAAAATAACCACATGTGAAAACATAAAACGGTTTAATTCAAATTCCTAAGGTAGAGTCTGTAGAATCCTACAGCAGGTTTTAAGGACCACCAAATGCAAAATGTGTCACATATGTCACACTCACCAACATGGCGACAATCAGTATCCCAAGTAGATAAATGGAAAAGGACACCAACTGGAGGAAGGCTAAACCTGCTCCAACCGCTGAAATAACAGAGTAAACTACGAACAACACTATCTTCAATACCATCCTTGCTCTGTGACTTATTCTCTGAAAAAAAGTTAATTAGCTAGGGTATATCACTAATATCATGTTCTGTTCAGAATTTCTAAATTCCTCCAATTTACATTAAATTGAAAATCGCTAAGAGAAGTTGGTACACTATCACCAAGCTGAAATACCGAATACCCGAGGAGGGGAATTATCTTACGTTCAGAGAGTTAGGAGTGAAGATGTGCTCGAGAGTGAGACCATCTTCTGGAGAAGCTAGAGTGGGTCTAACAGGGAGAGGAAGAAAGGTTCTTTTTAGTAGGCCCAGGTTGTAAGCAGCCCATGTAAGAATACAGATCAGCCAAAAGGAGTAGCTGAGGTAGAACACCACATTCATCCACACTGGAAACCCTGAAATAAGTATCATGTTGTGTTACAAATGTCGAGGTTGAGCTCGTTAGATTTTATGATTAGTAATTTTGATACTTTTATTAACCATCAAAGTCGAAATGTGAAGAACAGATCAAACACAGGTGAGTCGGAGATTATTTGCCGGTAATTGAGCCAAGTATAAAGGCTACCTTGTGTTGCACTCCAGTTTGCGATAAAGTTAAAGAAGTACACCGGACCCACAAAGAAACATATAACTTTGCTGGGCTGTAGGGCTTTGGGAGCTCTCTCCAAATCGTAGTGGTAGATAATATCATTCTTTCTAATAGAGTACCCTTCAAATATCCCAACTATAAGCAAGATTGACATCATAAACATGAACATCGTATCAAACTGAAACGAGGATTGGGTTTTTAATTTGGCCTGGGAATGATCATGATGAACATAATCATAGCTCAAAGAAAAAAATGTTAGTTATTTTTTGGACAGAATGCAAATTTAAAGGAGCTCTAGTCTTAACACTTTAAAACTTAGTTTACCTGAAAGATGATTTGACTCGGACAAATATGGTAGAGAAAGGATCCGATCGCTTCACAAATGAGGGTTACCCCAAACGAGTAAGGTATGGCGTAATCATAGTGACTGGAAATTCATCAGATAAGAATAACATATATTGAATTTAAAGAAAATGCCCAGCTGGAATTGCTACAAAATAATTAAATATCGTAAACGAAATTACTGCGTAAACAAGTTTGTTTATACCCAAGTTTGTTTATAGCCGAACGGCTGCCAGACCTTGGGTCAGAAGTTATATTTCGGAGGATACATTCAGATCAAATGTACAATCTGACTAACGTGTGACCAACAGATTTACAATAGGCTTCACAGAACGAGAAGTAGAACAGAAGAATCACTCCGTGTACTGCGAAGGGGAGGTTACTGGCGCAGTCGTTAACACTGATATCGTACCAGACTGAAACAATGTAATGTTAACACTGATATCGTACCAGACTGAAACACTGTAATGTTAACAGTAACACTGATATCGTACCAGACTGAAACAATGTAATTGGGTGAAAATTTTGTTGCAGTTTTTTAAAGAAAAAAAGAATTTAATTGAAAGAGTTCAGATGTGATTGGTCGGTCAGTCACAAATACCCCAACATTCAGATCAAACGAATGTTAACTTTATTTGAAAAAATGCTGTAATATAAATAACAGCTGAATAAGGTGATCATGGACTACATTTCTTACTTACGAACCGAATGGTCGATAACACTTTTCGTTGTAATAGCAGATATCTCTGTCTCCGAATTCTATCATGTCCGACCACTTGGCACTGACCACCTGTACCGATATTAATACGATCAATTTAATTGTCAACACAACTTTTTATGTTAAAGGGAAGATGTTCTTCCCCTGGATCAGTGAAAATATCACAAATTAAATGTTTAAAAACAATGACTAGAGAATAGAGATAACATTTGTTGCTCACAATAAGTGAGTTAAATGTTAGCCACATGTTAGCCACATATTAGCCACATGTTAGCCACATGTTAGCCACATGTTAGCCACATGTTAGCCACATGTTAGCCACATGTTAGCCACATGTTAGCCACATGTTAGCCACATGTTAGCCACATGTTAGCCACATGTTAGCCACATGTTAGCCACATGTTAGCCACATGTTAGCCACATGTTAGCCACATGTTAGCCACATGTTAGCCACATGTTAGCCACATGTTAGCCACATGTTAGCCACATGTTAGCCACATGTTAGCCACATGTTAGCCACATGTTAGCCACATGTTAGCCACCCCACCCCAATATTAATAACCTGAAATGCTCCAACAGAGAGTACCATCATGAGAAGAGTCATGAGGTAAGGGTAACCCTTGTCTCCCCTCCATGTCATATCCATCATTACACTCAACCAATCCTTCAGTTTTGTTCTGTGCATGTTCTTGAAATTGTTGTAGTCGAACACTACTCGGCTAATTACCGGGAATAATGCTCCTGAGAGGTGATGTTTATCAGAGCAAAAATAATTTATTTTAAGCTTAACGAGGATTGTTGACCAATTCTATTGTGGTTTCATCGCTAATATAAGGCTATCCATTGGAGAAATTGGAACAGACTTCATTGGTCATGAAAAGGAGCTATTTGACCAAACAGTTATTTAAGAGAGCTATGCCTATAGAATACCTGTAATAGAGATAAGAATCAGGAACAGTATCCTGAAGTTGTAACTGTAGTTCTTAACCACTACCTTCTCTAACATTACTCGTTTGTCGGTTATTTGAGGCTCCCTGCACAATGTTCATTTATTTCTCATTTTAAAATTCACGATGCAGGATACATGATAAGGTGAAGGGAAAGTGATGGAAAGATAACACGGATGAATAATGAATTATTTTGATTAGACCGTGAATAGATTATTGGAGATTAAGAGATTAATGTGTCCATAATGTCTTGTTAAACAAATTTACCCTGCTTGAGGTATTTGAACCAATCCGATGTACCAAGTTCCTGTTTTGAGGGATGGAAAAGAAGCATTTGAAAGAGTCACTGCTCCAAACGTAGAAAAACCTGAATATTGTAAAATAAATAATAATCAGTTGTCAGACTTTGTAAGTGAACACTTACATATTACTTAACTGCTTGAATAGTATCTAATTCTATAAGGATGAACATATTCTCTCAACGTATTTGCACATAATTATGCACTGGAAAAGATGAAAAATGAACATCTCGAAGAATATGAAAGGTATAAAGACGTACTCAACATCTGAAGTGACTTCAGCAAGTTGTAACTGTACTGCTTGGTCTCGTAGAACTCTCTCAGTGTACCGTAGCTTTGAGTTACAAACATTTTAGCGACATTTCTCTCACTGGTGATGTTCGAGAGATACTGATCCTTCGAGGTCGCACTTATCCAAACATACCTGAAGGAAAATTCGTCAAATTTTCTTAGTCTAGGGAAAATGTCTTACGAAATATACAGTTGGAACATTAAACATTGTACAACTAAATCGATACACAATTTTTGTGAACGTTGGCCAAAACGAATAAATTTTGATGTCTGAACTTTAAATAGTTAAATCTTACCCTAGTCCTTCTGTAGAAATGTCATCCTCGGATATAGCAAAGGAATTAATAACCATTTCTCTGTTTCTAAGCGTAATTTCAGACGACCAATTAATGTCTAACTCTGTCTGATTAAGTCCAATAGTATACTTGGTACCTGCTATACCTGCAAAGTCATATGGTAAACTCTATCGACCAATAAGAGAAAGGTAAGTCCGACTGTAAACTTCGGATCCAACGTGAAACTGATAATTAATCTGCAAACCTTTGATTACTATATGCAGTACACTATCCTGGTACCCCAGTAACCATGGTTCCGACACTTTCTTCACCATACTACCAGTACACAGTATATTAGCAGTCAGAAGAGCACGGTTCAGTTTCTTATCGATCAGGGTTGCAGTAAGGTAGGATGTTGTGTTGCTAGAACATTCGGTTGATAGTTCAAATACTGTCACCGACTCAGTTTTCTTTAGCTGGGATATTTTGTAAGCAGTGTTCATTCCGTAAATACCATTGTACCTTTTTAATCAAACCGTACAATACATAATGTAAATCAATATCCAATGCATTGTTTACGTGATGTTTAATGTACATTTTATGATGGTGAAAAGAAATGAAATGACTCACGTCAACAGATTTATTGATTGAGCCAGATACAAGCTCCCCAGTCCAATTCAACTGAGAAGCAAGGGTTTCTGTTATAGAGCAGATTAGTAACAGACGGATAAATACAAGTGACATCACTTGACAGGCTTGCTTTGTTAAAATCAGTTCTCTGAGATGGGAATACGATTTTCTTTCACAAGGATTGGACTAAATATTAATCCGAGAATCCCAAATGGAGATGTAATTCACTACTGCACAAAGGAAATTGTAACACCACTGCTGTCAAGTAAAACTAACAAGAGAAAGACAGTTGCAAATTATGATTACACAATCATAAATAAACATTCAGATTCCAGAAGTCTCCTACGCTTGTAAAATGCCTCAATATTACTCAAGAACAGATTTGGAAGTAGACAATACATTTTTTAATTACTGCAAACAAGCTTATTTATCACTATGCCAATGTTTAAGCAGCTAGAATATTTTATAAAAAGTCCGTATTCGATGCGGCTAATATACAAATATGCGAAGTAGAAAATATATAACAGTAAAACCCCAATTTATATGGTTAACGAATTCATTGGCACTCTTTGACTCTTGTATTGGCACTATTGACTCTTGTATTGGCACTATTGACTCTTGTATTGGCACTATTGGCACTTGTATTGGCACTATTGACTCTTGTATTGGAACTATTGGCACTTTTGGCTCATATAGATCGTTTCAATAGTTTTGCAATATTTACTTTTTTGCTTAAAGTGTTAAAGGATCGTTCACATATTACGTACACCAGTTTTTGGAAGGGAGAAGGGGTTTTGAAAAGCTTCTGCTAGAGTAATTTCTACACAATAGGTATGTGTAAACTTGCTAACGAATAACCAAAAATGGATTAAGTAATATGTGCCATGTGGTGAGTGGTCGATCCCAATTTTGAACGTAAAGTGAAAAAACAGATTCACCACATCCTATTCCAAAACCTCGTTCCCCCAGTTTATAGCTCCAATGACATCAGACTTGACGAAGCTATAATTGTGGCCCTGTCTGCAATCCCAGTGCTAGGTGATCTAGACCACAGTCTGTTCGTACCCCAGACCTGTTCGTGCCCAAGGACCTCGAACCCAGTGACTGTCGGCCAACGTTCATCGTGCCCAAAGATTTGGGGGTTTAGTGTTCTCAGGTAGAGGTAGGTACTGTTTGTGCTAATTGTCATGTTAACTTTGCTTCCGTTGCTCACGATAGCTCATTTTAAGTCCTCTAAGCCGTTACAATTCTGTCGCTACTTACTCTTATTTAAAGTCTACCTTATCGGGCCTTATTTGAACGGACATTAATTGAACGCTGGAGGCCCTAGCGTTCATCTTAATGCCGTTCAAATAATGTCCGTCCGTTTAAGGTCCGTCCAAATTAAAGTCCGTTAAATTTTTTTCAAAAATTATTCCACTGCGAACTTATTGTCCAGGATATGACAACTTTTTAATTTCAGTTAATTTTAATTTCTATCATCGGACTAAACTATATCATTGGATCAATGAAAAACAAGTTATTATAAAATCACAATGCTGGCAAGCATTACCGTCGCCCTTATATTCACAATACTATTTACCCCCTATACTATTATATCCCCTTTATTGTTTTCCAGGCATTAAGACTCATCGAAAGTAGTTCAGCAGGTACATTTAAGTTCAAAACATTCTAATTCAATGTTAAAGATGACAGGAATAAGAAATAGTTATATGGAGGTTTTTAAGAAATTTGCGCAAAATACGCGCCAGCATGTTATACGAAATTAGGTAAAAAACCCAAAATCCCCATATTCAGGTGCCTTAAAAACCATGTTAAAATTGAGTTAGAGATCTGAAACTTTGCAGGGCGTCTAGACCTTGTCCAAGTCGACAGTAAAAAAAATTTCATGTTTCAGGAGTATCGGGAAGTGGGTTTTCTGGAACCCCTGTTTTACAACAGATTGTCGTGAAGATATATCACAATGCTGGCAAGCATTACCGTCGCCCTTATATTCACAATACTATTTACCCCCTATACTAGTAGTAGTATACCCCCTATACTAGTATATCCCCTTTATTGTTTTCCAGGCATTAAGACTCATCGAAAGTAGTTCAGCAGGTAAATTTAAGTTCAAAACATTCTAATTCAATGTTAAAGATGACAGGAATAAGAAATAGTTGTGTGGAGGTTTTTAAGAAATTTGCGCAAAATACGCGCCAGCATGTTATACGAAATTAGGTAAAAAACCCAAAATCGCCATATTCAGGTGCCTTAAAAACCACGTTAAAATTGAGTTAGAGATCTGAAACTTTGCAGGGCGTCTAGACCTTGTCCAAATCGACTGTAAAAAAAATTTCGTGTTTCAGGAGTATCGGGAAGTGGGTTTTCTGGAACCCCTGTTTTACAACAGATTGTCGTGAAGTATATATATATATATATATAGACGCTTTTTGCAGTCAATTGTAGCCTACATTTAAGTGTCCGTAGATTCAAAAGTATGAAAGATACAGTCATTTCGAACCACAGGTTTTAAAGATAATCATTCATACTTTAGTTTACACTATATCAAAAAATAATTTAACGTCATCATCATCACTTGATGACGTCTTTAAGTTAAGTGTTTTTAAAACTTGATTTTTGACAAAATAATAACTTTTCAAATCGATTTTAAACCATTAAGGAGTAATTTTATTCAAAATCTGAGGACATTTTCATCTTAGATAATTGTTCAAGCATTCTGAAAATCTACCGGAAAAGTTTCTTACTTTGCTCCTTCATAAAGATATTCGCTATTGAAGTTAGTGCTTTTTTGAAGAATAATTTTATAAAAACACAAAAGTTGTGAATTAGTATTCTCTGGTGTTGGGCCATCCCTTGGGTTGTGGAGCTTAATTTTGCTTTTTAAAGGTCTAAATTGTGTTATAGGCTAGTTTTAAAGTTGAAAATCAAAAAGTTGCACACGTGGGGACACGCCCAATTTGATAGAAAATTGCTAAAATTACTGAAAATTGCTGTTTTCACCATTTTTATCAACTTTGCAGTCTCGTTGTGATCCAAGTTCTATATGAAATCTTCTGAAACTTTGCATGCTTATTAAACTATATATAAAATAATGCTATGCAAAAATTTACGGTGATTCAATATTGTATCCGCACGCAACGTCCGCTCAAAGTTTGCACGTGCGAAAGGTGAGAATTTTGCTCATTCGTGATTTCGAATAAATTCTGCTTTCCCACGATATTTAAATGGCATTATATATGAATTTAATGCCAACTTGAATAAGTAAAAAGTGCCATATTCAGTCAGGTAAAATTTCGAAATCGATGAAATTACCTCCTAATTGAGTAATTATTAATATAAATATTAATGAAGTTATGAGTTTACATTTCGGCTTTGTAAATTATCCTGACATTATAATCAAAAAGAGATGATATTTGACCAAAACCCATAATCATGGGTAGAGTGTACCGCTGCCAGTGTCTCTCTTTTCCAAACAAAAGGAAATGATATTAATTTGAATAACCGTCCGAAAATGCAAATTGATACCGAGAATGAAATCGGTCGCTCGCTTTTTCCAATCAATAAGCTTTATATTACAATTCGTAAGCCGTGATCGAATGGAAAAAGCGAGCGACCGATTTCATTCTCGGTATCAATTTGCATTTTCGGACGGTTATTCAAATTAATATCATTTCCTTTTGTTTGGAAAAGAGAGACACTGGCAGCGGTACACTCTACCCATGATTATGGGTTTTGGTCAAATATGTATATATGTATATATGTATGTATAGACGCTTTTTGCAGTCAATTGTAGCCTACATTTAAGTGTCCGTAGATTCAAAAGTATAAAAGATACAGTCATTTCGAACCACAGGTTTTAAAGATAATCGTTTATACTTTACTTTACTTTATATTGAAAAATAATTTATCATCATCATCATCACTTGATGACGTCATCAAGTTAAGTGTTTTTAAAACTTGACTTTTGACAAAGTAACAACTTTTCAAATCGATTTTACACTATTAAGGAGTAATTTTATTCAAAATCTGAGGACATTTTCATCTTAGATAATTGTTCAAGCATTCCGAAAATCTACCGGAATAGTTTCCTACCTTGCTCCTTCATAAAGATATTTGCTATTGAAGTTAGTGCTTTTTTGAAGAATAATTTTATAAAAACACAAAAGTTGTGAATTAGTATTCTCTGGTGTTGGGCCATCCCTTGGGTTGTGGAGCTCAATTTTGCTTTTAAAAGGTGTAAATTGTGTTATAGGCTAGTTTTAAAGTTAAAAATCGAAAAGTTGCACACGTGGGGACACGCCCAAATTGATTTAAAATAGCTAAAATCACTAAAAATTTTGATTTTCACGATTTTTATCAACTTTGGAGTCTCGTTGTGATCCAAGTTCTTTTTGAAATCTTCTGAAACTTTGCATGCTTATCAAACCATATATTAAATACCACTATGCAAAAATTTACGGTGATTCAATATTGTATGCGCACGCAACGTCCGCTCAAAGTTTGCACGTGCGAAAGGTGAGAATTTTGCTCATTCGTGATTTCGAATATATTCTGCTTTCCACGATATTTAAATGGCATTATATATGAATTTAATGCAAACTTGAATGAGTAAAAAGTGCCATATTCAGTCGGTTATCGACAGATATACCTAACTAAACACAAGGAAACGTTTTCAAAGGCAGAATTTCGAAATCGTCGAAATTACCTCCTTGTTAATGAAGTTTCGACTGTGTAAATTATCCTGTCATTATAATCAAAAAGAGATGATATTTGACCAAAACCCATAATCATGGGTAGAGTGTACCGCTGCCAGTGTCTCTCTTTTCCAAACAAAAGGAAATGATATTAATTTGAGGAACCGTCCGCTAATGCAAATTGATACCGAGAATGAAATCGGTCGCTCGCTTTTTCCATTCGATCACGGCTTACGAATTGTAATAAAGCTTATTGATTTGAAAAAGCGAGCGACCGATTTCATTCTCGGTATCAATTTGCATTAGCGGACGGTTCCTCAAATTAATATCATTTCCTTTTGTTTGGAAAAGAGAGACACTGGCAGCGGTACACTCTACCCATGATTATGGGTTTTGGTCAAATTTATATATTCTAAATATCATATTATGGCACTTCTGCACTTTCTTAATTTACGGTTCCTCGTTCATTTCTTCGGAGTTACTATTAATCTACCTCCACATCTTCTAGATCTCTTACAACTGGTTGTTTATCCAACTCGTAGTTGTAGCGGTTAGTAGTTCTAGAGATAGTAGAATGCCTGAAGTACAACTTGAGCTTTATCTCTAGACCCCCCCTTCCCCACTTGGCAAAGGCTACCTTCGGTGGTTCATGTCAACGACGATACTTTCTACCATACCAACCATCTCGATGATATAGAATTCGAAAACCTGGATATCTTCCCAGGGATATGGCCGACGTACCTTCATACCTCATCTGCACAGCATTTAACATTTTTAATGCCTAACGATTGCTTTCCTTACTTGCTGTATGACAAAAAAAATTATCAAAATATTGACCTTGTTTTAAACTTATTTTGATGACCATAAAAATGACCTAAAATAAATATTTCAGAATATTCTAGAAGGTTATGGATTGTTCTATGAGTACGAAGTAGCCAAGCCTGATGGCCTGCAGCCTAACAATTATAATGAATAATTCGTCGCAATTTTATTTTTAGACAAAAATTCCAAGATTTACTGAATTTGCATTTTTCTTCCTATGTAAATTTTCCACCCTATTAATTAAATATTATTGTTATTTTTACCCTCGCACAAAGTGAGTCATCGAGGATAATATGCGATGAAATAGTGAATACATGTCTTCTTCATATCAGAGCGGGTTATGTTAAACTCTGGGTTTTTACTTTGAATTACTCCTTGTAGTTTGATTTAGGAATATCTTCGAGATAGACAGTAGACACACTTCGATAAAAGATTATAAAAGGTAAAGGTTATTTGTTACATCAAAGGATATTGAGATCATCTTTAACATGACATCATAGCTGGCGATTGGAGCTGAATCCTGGAGAGCCAGGTGACTCGCTAGTTGAGACTGCATGGACCGGACTAGCTGATAACGTCTAGAACTACAGTTTCTGTTCTGGAATCTGGTATTTATAACGGCAAAAAGGCAGCGTGTATTAAGTTTTACAAATGGTTTGTGGGTAATGTATATGAATTATAGAAGAGGGCGGGTTTTTGAGTGCAGTGTTTGTCAGTCACGTGATACGTGCACAGACACGTGATCACAGCTCAACTGTTGTTAGCGAGTTAGCGGGTCTAACAAATTCCGGGAAATATACTTCCGGGTCTATCAAAATATCTGACAATCCGGATCACACCACTAATCCTCGCTAAAAAAACCCGACTTTTAAGTACAGCTTCGATAAACTATGTATAAAGCCATGCATGTCCGGCGACCGCGATTTAAGACGTTGCATTTTAATCCAGCACCCAGGAATTAAACCATCACATGTTGTGGCATCTTTCGGACATTTCCGGATGTTGAGCGGTCCGCGAAAATGTTTTGGTCCGGAGTAATTAACGTTTCACTGTAAACAATAATTTATATAATAAAAAGCCACTGTAGTATAATATTGGAAGATACCTACACGTGATATGAACTCCAGTATATGCTGGAGTATTACCGAATATTCAGTAATAAACCTTTCCGTCGCTTTGTCGGTAGGATCCATTTTATACTTCCTCCCCGCCCGGAATTTATTGTCATGAGTAATTAATAGGAACCTCAAGTTTACTGCATTTTTGTAGAATATGTTCTTGTCCTTGGCACTCAGTTCCCACAGTCTGTTGATTTATAATCATAGTTATCGGAATATAATAACGTTGATAATCAATACTAATAATCCCAGATTGCGTGTCTTTGAATGCTTGGAAATATGATGCTACTTGTACCTTCTCCAGAAAAATATATACCGTTAACCTGTCCTTCGTTGAAGTAGTCATACAATATGTCTGTAAGAGCGCGTGTGCTGCAGAGAAGAGAGAGAGCTGGAGGAACGTCATCATGAATCATAAATCAAGTCAGCATAATTATGAGGAAATTTTTACATTATTCTTAATTTAATAATATTACAGAAGAAACAGGAAAAATAAGAATGGGAAAAGGAGGAGGATAGGAGAAGGTATTCTAACAATTTGTTGACAGGTCTTCAGAAAAAGTTACAGGAGCCGGAACATAAAACAAACAAAAAATATTTCTTGCTTTGTCTAACTCTAACTCTAAGTTATTTTTTCTTTATATTAATTTCATTAGCTTAAGAGGAAGAATGGTACGGGGATAAACTTAATCAGAGATTGTCAGTGTAAAATTAAAAATATAATATGGGAGAACGTCACCTATAAAAATATAAATGCTCGAACAGCAAGTATATTAGTTTAATGGTAATCTTTAAAGTGATGCTAGAACATATACGTGATTTTAGAACATATTCTAATAGTAGTATTTGCAGATTACCAGGATCGGCTGAGTGTACCGGTTTTAACAACTAACGTCGTCTTAAAAGGAGAAACTTACTGTTATGGTTTATATGTTATACGAGATTGGGTGGGACAGATGATGCGAAAAACATTCTTTTATCAAAATAAATTTGGAGTGAGCTTAAAAGTACTTTTCGCAACTCCTATATCCCTGTAGAATCAAGATAAGTATAACAAGTTTATAAAAATACTGAGCTGAACAACTTTTTCTGAGGAGCAATGTCTTATAATTAGGAATGGCATTCTCGTGACTCTCATGGAGCGCAGTTGGAGTCGGAGTATCGGAGGATGCGGTCAACGCTGACACCAGATGCTAACACTGCCGAAGAAATAAAAAGGTATCATTCTGCCCTCAAAAAGCGACAAAAACAAAATTTTCTTTATAACTGTCTATAATTGTACATTTGTTAGATAAGAAGTAAAAAAACGTAATAGTTCTTAAAATCCTGAGTAACAGAAGTTGATTGTCGCTGCTCAGAGGCTGTACCGCAAAATCTATCACCAGGAAGGTGTTAGAACTTTAGAAGTTTAGAAGTTGAAAATGAAGATATTACCCAGAAGCCTGCTGATTATCTGAATGATTGATGAGAGACAGTAACCCAATGATTATTCTTTATTCGACGCTTGGAAGTTTAGATAAATGGGGTGAATATGACTTATTTTGACTCATAAGTAATTCAATCTTCTGAATCAACAAATCTTGTACTCTAAGTTAATAATTTGAAGCTGAGAAAATAGTTCACGTTTACATGTCCTAGAGCTCTTACCCTAACCCAAAACTTATCACTAGCCCTAACCCGAACCTTATAGTGAACACCAACCCAAATCAACAGTTACTAAGTACTAACCATAATTTAAAAACCGGTTGTTTGAAGTTTTAGTCTACATGTATGATGTAGATCAGGAAGTTAGAAGTAAAATTCCTCTGGTCTAGTGGTTACATTACGAAATGGAGAATATTGTGGAATTTGAAGTGTGTACTCCTTTTTAAAAGATGTTTGTGGCGTTAAACCGTTCGTTTGATATTATTACATATTTCGAGTTTTGTCACGACCACGTGTTCAAACAAAAACTTGTGATGTAACAGAATATATTAGTTTGCAATTGGCTTGATATCTATTTATTTACCTCTAAGATTGCATTTGAAGCTTGATGTTGATCAAAAAGGATCATCGAATTAAAACAAGATATCTTGAAGCATGCATCAATTATCAAATGAGAGATACATTTTAAATTAAAATTAAGTAAAAACAGTTAAAGAATTACTGATATGCACAAACTAAACGAATGAAACTTTATACATTCTTAGAAATTGTATCAATGTATCAAATTAATGATATCTAGAGGTCAGTGATATCCTGTACAACTACAACTACAATTTTGTATGTCTATGTCTATGATAACTTAATGTTTCTCTAAGACTTCAGGTCTTAATCCAAATTTCCGAGGTTACTGGGTGCAGCCCTGCAAGGTTTCCAATCATTCGCAGCTATGATTGTTCTCTGATTCAGGGTTTAGCCAAGCTTCTCCAAGATAAATGTTGCAGTAGAAGCAGTCGTAATAGTCCTTGTCACCGATGAAGGTAGCCCTGAAACCCTTCTTTCGGCTGAAGCGACGACCTTCGTAATGGGTTCCCTCCTCGAACTCTGTGTATTCGTACTCATTTGTATCTTTATTCTTGATAAGTCCTCCCCATTTAACACTCAGACCCAACTTCTTCGTCTTCATCTTGATTCCCTCCTTCTCAATCTCCACTGGGCAGAACATTTTGTCTTTTCTCTTGGATTTCATGTGGAACTCCACATCAACCTTCCACCAAACATCAAAGCAAGAAACCGCTATTTGTTCGTCAGGCAGACAAATAGGATATCCTACCATTCCGTAGTCGTCAGTGTGACAACTAGGGCTCATTGGAAGCACGTCGTCATAATAGCACCAAAAGTTCGTTATTCCAAATGGAAGATATGGGATCGGTCGCATTCTCCTGGGAGCATCAATCATCTTGCCGTATTCAAATCCAAGTGTTCTACAAATGGATCCAGCAGCAGGACTGTTGAAATGGTCATCACAACCTGCATACCAATCTTCTGCAGTTCCATCACTATGAGTGTTACGTGCCTTTACACGGCCAGCATTTTGCATTCTTTTGTAACCACCTCCAACAAGCTCGAATTCCAGCCCCCTCCATTCCTTGGGTTCCACACAATATGGCAGCTCATAAGAATAGTCCATTTCTCGGCAGAATCCGTGCTCGCCCATATTAGTCTCGACCATCATGAACCCGGCGTCGCACTCGTACTTACCATGAGTCACTTTACCTTCATCATCAGTAAATTCTTCGACGAGATTACCATTATAAATATATTGGGGCATTTTACAAGTTTCCTCATCCTGTATTATAGTGACACATCGTGGTACATCAGGTTTCTGACCTTCCTCACAGTGAGACCAGCCATGACCAGCCTCTTCAATAGATTGCAGTGCTGGATTGTCCTCGAGCTCGAATCCTGGGTTGCACCCGTACTCTGCATTCCATACTCTAAGCCCGCTCAAAACTGCAACCATGCCCTCCCATTCTCTGACTTTGTAACCGTTATCTATCAATGGAGGACAATGTTCATCTTCATGTTTACCACAAACAATGGTTTCTCCGCACGTTTTGGCAGTAAAGTAGTCCATATCACCATTGTAACTTGGATTGTGAACATCACACCTGTAAAAGGAAATGTCCTCGCCCACCAGATGGTTGATGAGTTTACCGTTCTCGATAGTGGAATCGTATTCCTCACACTCTACCGGCTCACATGTTGGGATCTCGCCAAAGTTACCCTCAATGTCACAGTAGATTATAGAATCGCCTTTCAATTCGTAACCTGGGTTGCAGGCCATCTCGACAAATCTACAACCCCTGTCCTTGGGGGCGTGCACTGCTTTTATATAGCCATTAGAAGGTCCATCTTCTAACATTACGCATTTATCTTCAACACATTGCCATTCTTTTGAAGCACCGCCATTCGCAGCACATGACACGATGGTCTGTTCTTCATCCTTACAGTTCCCGTAATCAACAGCTCCATTGTTCAGACTTGTTCTTTTACCTGCATTGCATTCGAGATGGAAGATCTGTTTTCCTTCTACATCAGGATCAACGGAGATCAAGGAAAGGAATTCATGTTCTGAAGGGTCAAACTCTGCCCATAAATCACAGGTAACGCATTCGTACGCTTCCCCATTGAATGTGTAGCTTACTTGACACTCATTGCACTCGTCAGCATAACAGGTCAGCTCATGTTCATCGCCTGATTGCTGCATACATTGGTTGTATGATAAGGCACAAGCACTTCGACAATCTTTCTTGACATGGCTGTTATCACAGAACACATCCTCGAGATCGTTAAACATTTCCATGAAACCATGCTCAGTTTTAAATTCTCCGGCACTTCGATTATCAGGTCTCTGAGATGGTTTGCTATTTCTAACCCTGTTACATGAGAGGTTTCGTAGACCCCGAACTGTTTCATCATACCTCTCACGGCCGTAGTGACAGTCGAGTAGTCTCCATGAGTCATCGTATCTGTATGTTCAAGAAGAGGCAATATTACACTTCCCCACTCTACATCATAGGTAAATTCTGGAAGAAGGAAGGGCATAGTCAAAACTCGAACGTCTTCGTTTACGCTATCACATTTTGTAATGTCATCGTCTGGAAGTTGTTCTTCAGTGTGTAGGATGTGTTTCACAACCATGCAGGCAGCATCTAGCCAATAAAAGTTGTCCACAGCTGGCCATGAATATATCCGATCTTTGCAGTTAGCATCGTAAAGGTCTGAGATGCGATCCTGGGCTAAGCAGGATAACTTTGTCAGGTCAAAGTCCGTAAAATCGTCGAAGGAAAGTCCTTGCAGATCATATTTTCCCGCACAAAATGCTTTGAATTCTCTTTTCTGTCCGACAGCGTAGCACACGTCTAATTTCGCTTCAATTTCGACCTGCTGATGATGTCGGTTTTCATGAGGGATATTGAAAGGTCTCCTATCTAAACGTACACGTTTCTGATCTTTATCATCATCAGTTAATATGACACTATGTGCTCCGGGATAGGTAAAGCAGGCCTCATACTTGCTGCCATACGTGTATGTCGCTGACATAAGTTCAAAGTCACACGGATTACATCCTTCATCATCATTTTTCCAGTAAGTGCCAAATGGGCAATCCTCACACTTCCCATTGCTCCAGACAAGTTGGTACTTTTTATCGCACTTATCCGCCGGACAATCTTTTCATTTGTATCCGAACTTGATACCGGCCCTCCAGGACAATTTTTGAACTTACCAATCAAATCAAATTCCACGTTCATATCGTCAAATAATTTAACATCGTCAAAAAGGTCTAAGTCGATATCAGAATACTTCTTTGCCACGTAAACCACCACAAATGACTCTGAAAAAGTATTGATAGTTTACACTAACGAATCTTGATGACCCAAGCCCCTTACCCTGACCCCAATACAAGTATAATGGAGAACATTTACCAAAGGACTCAGCCCTTTATTTCCACAGTTTGAGTGTGCTCCCATAAAGCCATAACCCTGCCATAACTTAAAGCCCGCGCGCTGTCCCCCAAATGCCAAGAAAAATGCGGCAGCAAATTGTGATCGAGAAATGAACTTGTCGGTAACTAGTTACCGACAGCTAGCTATGTATATTAATATATTAGTGATGACGGTGTACATACCTTTAGTTTCCTTATCGTAGTCGCACCTCTTAAGAGACATGTGGCAAGCATCGTCCCTGAGGAAGTGGGTATCAATGTTTCAAATTTACAACTTGATGCAATTGTTTTCAATTTTGCGAAATAATTTGAATGGTGTGCTTTTATTTTTCAAGCGATAAAATCAGTTTGCATTTGAAATGACTGATGACACTGTAATTTATGAAGTGATAGTAATAGTATTTATGGGTCAACAATACAAATTATATAAAAAAGGATGTAAAATGTTAAAGAGACTACAAAAATTGTCTTATAAATGAAAACTTACTTTTTACAGCCTTCAACTTCCCAGTGAAGATTAATTTTTTGAGCAAGCCGAGTTTTCCCCCCAAGAGTCATACAAGCTTCACTTTCCCCGCCATACGAAACATATTCCGAGTGGAGGTCGGAATAGTCCTGACCCTTTGCGACTGTTGAAAGTTCGTATTAGTTAATGCTGTACACGTAAGTCTAATCTAACAATTGAAGCCTGAAGGTATGAAAATGAATTTAAAATTTTGTATAGAGATCTTGCCTAACAATTTAATAAAGCTGTAAAATATCGGGAATTATGATTGGGAGTTTCTTACGGAGGGACATGTTTAGTGTAATTATAATGAAGAATTAATAGTACCAACCTTCATCTTCTATACACGCAAAAATTGAAATCGCTCCAAGAATCTCCACTTTACTTCCGTCATCATTAGTTTGCTTTCCGTCACAAGAAAAGTAGAGACTAGAATCAATGGTTGCAACTTGAAGATCCTTCAGCTGACGGTGAATATTAGAGGGGTCCATGTTTAAACCGATCAGATACAGTGAGTCAGCAACGTTCAGCATACTGAAATTATTAATTCAGTTTTAATAATTAAGATTAAATTACACGCCGAGTCCTTAAAGTTTGATCTCAGGCGAAATCTGATCTCAGGTAATTAGGTAGGGGGAGGGAGAGGGGTGGGATCAAGACATACAAATATTTTGGGGGGGCGGAAAAATTATGTACGGCAAATATGTACGTTTCGCCACAAACGTTTTGAAATATTATTTGACTCCTTAACATTAAAAATGTTATCCCGGGTGATCAAATAGCATGCCGGGTCCTTGAGTTTAGATCTCGAGGCCTATAAATAGCAGGTATCGCGATCTGATCTTGGGTAATACTGTTACAATTACATGCCGTGTCCTTAGATTCGAATCTTGGGGTCCAAATGTAAGTTCACGGGCCAGGCGCAGGACCATGTTCTTACCAAACCAAATTAAAAATGTGCTTTATGTACCATCATGATAATTGATGGAGGTTCAAAAAAGAATAATATTAAATTTCCGGCATTTTCCTCTTTTAAACACCTGTTTCCGGTTCAGCAGCCTAAACCCTATACTAGTTGGTCACATATCCAATATCCATCTAAAGTCTTCATAAATATATTTATAACATACCTGAAGATTCTGTTGACGTAGGAGTGTCCTGTGTGAATCCAGTCGTTAACGAGGTGGATCATTGTTTTCAAGTCTTGAACGTACATATGAGCTTCGAACGCGGCACGCTCAGCCATGACAAGAGTTAAAGTGCCCATACTACACTTCCGCTCAGCATCGTACCTGGGTGAAGTTCAGAATAAACAAATCATCAGAGATTACCTCGTTATTTTTCTTAACACAACTGTTGACGAGCGCATCTATACGGCTATGTGCACTTGTGATAATCGGTATTTTGCGATGTGATCGGTAATCAAGGCAAACAATTGATAATCATAATCATTTCACGGAAAATAAGACTGACTATTAGAATTGTAGCGACTTTAAAAAATTTGATAGCGCAACTATTTAGATTCGATTTTGTTCTAAAATTTGAAGCTGTCTCAAAAACGGTGATGTATCATGTAAGACAATAACATGATGACATACATAACGTGAGCAGACATTTCGTGGGCTTCATATCCAGAGATCTGTTCAAGCATATCATTCAGGAAGGTCCAGTCTCCCATGACCTCTACTTTCGCTTCAACTGTGGCCCTTCCATCACCCTGTCTTCCATGTTCAACGTCCCCCTCTTTACCAATTGGCCATTTGTGACAATCGTGCGAACTCTCGGACTCTACTGCTGACAGAGGACTCCACTCAGGACAACTGATACACTCGTGACTTTGAGAGCTTGGTTGGTAGGTTCCTGGACGACAACTAACACATCTGACGGTGGGACCCCAAGAGGCGGAGTAATGTCCTGGTTGACAGGCCTCACAATGTCCATCCTTATAGTTTCCCTCCCATCCGTAACCATCGGGACACTCCATTCTCATCATGTGGGGATATCTCCAGAAAATATCGTCCCATAACCAATCGTCTCTGTTCTCCGCTCCAGGGAACTCTGAAACATATTTGGTCGTCAAGGTTTTGAAAGACAACCAAAAATATAACAAAAATATTCACATCTTTTGTCTACAACAAATTCGAATTATATATTTCATAATGACCGTTTGACTCATTTAAACTCTGTGGCCCAATCCTCTTTAAAATAAAATCCTCGAAGATTGGAGTACTCACCAATTGTGTCATGATGGTCCTGCACACGATCCACTAGTTCATCCCATTCAATTGCTATTGTACATTGAACCAACAGATATAGACACAGCGCCGCGTGTCTTAACATTAGAGGTACTTTTCCTAACCTGCATTCAATTTCGTTAATTCGAAATTTTTAATAAAACTAAATCTAAAATTAGGAAAGCTTTCCGTGGATTGTCTTCAGACAATATTTTTATCGTTTAACTACAAATAAAAATGCTCATTGAACAACGGTAACATGAATTTGATGACGTGAACTAATAATGAGTCTTATAAAAGATTTGTATTCAAAATATTGAAAATATGAACGTAACGATTGATACTGTAAAAAGGAAAATTGTCGAATAAAAAATAAAATAGCTTAAATATTAACTAGTAAAAATATAAGTTATGCTAAAACATTTTCGTGTATTTCCCGATCGAAATCATATACACAAGAACCAATGGTGTTGCATTCAAATTATGTATGTGATCATTATCTATGCTCATGCAGGTTTGACAAATCAAAATAGATAGAAAATATTTGTAAAATTAGTGAAATCCGTCCTATGCGCTTAATAAAGACACACCACACATTGGAATGCAAATACGTTAATCTACAAAGAAGAGTGAGCAGTTATCCAAGGAATAACGGAAGTAAAATAATAATGAAATATTGAAATATATGATCTTACGCGTCTACGTCGCGTAAAATCATATTTTCAAGCCAAATGATCTATAAGGTTGAATTTGCAAAGACGATTCTATGCTTAATGTCAGTATGAGACCCAAGACTTTTACTGGACCTCCAGTGATCATTAATTCAATAAAGCACCGCTATCATCTAATTCGATTGTTACTAGTGGGCCGCGCTCAGCCTGTCATTCCGCCTAATCTCTATGTTTATGAACATGATAGCCTGAGGTCCCCAGGTAAATTCGATTGGAGAAGTAAGAAATATACAAACAAACTCAGTCTTATCCTCAATAATTAGTTTGTGCAAGGGTTAAAATAATAATAATAATTAACTTGCAATAGAGTGGAAAATGAACATATATGCAACAATAAAGATGCAAATTCAATAAACGAATTATTCATTATAATTGTTAGGCTGCAGGCTTCGCTACTCTGTACTCATATGTCATAGAATAATCCATAACCTTCTAGAATATTCTGAAATATCTATTTTACTTTTAGGTAAAACTAAAGTGCAGGAAAGTAGTGAGCATAATGATAATCGAGGACACATTCCTATCCTATATATTTTTTCGAATAGTCAACTTTCAGCTACTCTTAAAGTATTAATCCGAATCGTGCGCTATATAAAAAGTATTGATCACATAAAATTATAACCCAGTAGCAGTTTCAGATCATGTCGGGGCAGTTCACCAAACGTGTCTGATAAAACGTTGTAAAAACGATCTTTCTCACCGTCATCAGCACCGTCAGTCGGAGCGTAGGCTACAACAAACCGCTATGAAGACTTGAAATACCGATAAAGAAGTCCCGATACAATCCTTGGTCCTTTTCGATATCGGTTGAAATCCGTATTCGTTAATCTTATAAAGCAAATATTTGAATAAATTTCTTTCGTTTTCTGAACTTGAGATCTTTCCTTCATAAGCCCGATTATCAGCTGGGAACCCTAGCAAAAATTGAGTTATCGAGGATAATATGTCCATCATATTATGCTGCACCGGTCGGACTAAGAAGTCGACTTGCGTCAGAATAGGTAAAACGAGGGGGATAAAACCCAGACGAAAACATTGCCATCCTGTCACTTCTACCATCCTATCACTTCTACCATCCTGTCACTCCTACCACCCTGTCACTTCTACCATCCTGCCACTTCTACCTCCCTGCCACTTCTACCATCCTGCCACTTCTACCATCCTGTCACTTCTACCATCCTGTCACTTCTACCATCCTGTCACTCCTACCACCCTGTCACTTCTACCATCCTGCCACTTCTACCATCCTGTCACTTCTACCATCCTGCCACTTCTACCATCCTGCCACTTCTACCATCCTGTCACTTCTACCAATTCTGATACTTCTACCATCCTGCCACTTCTACCATCCTGTTACTTCTACCATCCTGTCACTTCTACCATCCTGCCACTTCTACCATCCTATCACTTCTACCATCCTGTCACTTCTACCATCCTGTCAGTCCTACCACCCTGTCACTTCTACCATCCTGCCACTTCTACCTCCCTGCCACTTCTACCATCCTGCCACTTCTACCATCCTGTCACTTCTACCATCCTGTCACTTCTACCATCCTGTCACTCCTACCACCCTGTCACTTCTACCATCCTGCCACTTCTACCATCCTGTCACTTCTACCATCCTGCCACTTCTACCATCCTGCCACTTCTACCATCCTGTCACTTCTACCAATTCTGATACTTCTACCATCCTGCCACTTCTACCATCCTGTTACTTCTACCATCCTGTCACTTCTACCATCCTGTCACTTCTACCATCCTGTCACTCCTACCATCCTGCCACTTCTACCATCCTGTCACTTCTACCAATTCTGTCACTTCTACCATTCCGTCACTTCTACCATCCTGTCACTTATACCATCCTGTCACTTCTACCATCCTGTCACTTCTACCATCCTGCCACTTCTACCATCCTGCCACTTCTACCATCCTGTCATTTCTACCATCCTGCCACTTCTACCATCCTGCCACTTCTACCATCCTGTCACTTCTACCAATTCTGTCACTTCTACCATTCCGTCACTTCTACCATCCTGTCACTTCTACCATCCTGTCACTTCTACCATCCTGTCACTTCTACCATCCTGCCACTTCTACCATCCTGCCACTTCTACCATCCTGCCACTTCTACCATCCTGCCACTTCTACCATCCTGTCACTTCTACCATCCTGTCACTCCTATCACCCTGTCACTTCTACCATCCTGCCACTTCTACCATCCTGTCACTTCTACCATCCTGCCACTTCTACCATCCTGCCACTTCTACCATCCTGTCACTTCTACCATCCTGTCACTTCTACCAATTCTGTCACTTCAACCATCCTGCCACTTCTACCATCCTGTCACTTCTACCAATTCTGTCACTTCTACCATCCTGTCACTTCTACCATCCTGCCACTTCTACCATCCTGTCACTTCTACCATCCTGTCACTTCTACCATCCTGTCACTTCTACCATCCTGTCACTTCTACCATCCTGCCACTTCTACCATCCTGCCACTTGTACCATCCTGTCACTTCTACCATCCTGTCACTTCTACCAATTCTGTCACTTCAACCATCCTGCCACTTCTACCATCCTGTCACTTCTACCAATTCTGTCACTTCTACCATCCTGTCACTTCTACCATCCTGCCACTTCTACCATCCTGTCACTTCTACCATCCTGCCACTTCTACCATCCTGCCACTTCTACCATCCTGTCATTTCTACCATCCTGCCACTTCTACCATCCTGCCACTTCTACCATCCTGTCACTTCTACCAATTCTGTCACTTCTACCATTCCGTCACTTCTACCATCCTGTCACTTCTACCATCCTGTCACTTCTACCATCCTGTCACTTCTACCATCCTGCCTCTTCTACCATCCTGCCACTTCTACCATCCTGCCTTTTCTACCATCCTGCCACTTCTACCATCCTGTCACTTCTACCATCCTGTCACTCCTATCACCCTGTCACTTCTACCATCCTGCCACTTCTACCATCCTGTCACTTCTACCATCCTGCCACTTCTACCATCCTGCCACTTGTACCATCCTGTCACTTTTACCATCCTGTCACTTCTACCAATTCTGTCAATTCAACCATCCTGCCACTTCTACCATCCTGTCACTTCTACCAATTCTGTCACTTCTACCATCCTGTCACTTCTACCATCCTGCCACTTCTACCATCCTGTCACTTCTACCATCCTGTCACTTCTAACATCCTGTCACTTCTACCATCCTGTCACTTCTACCATCCTGCCACTTGTACCATCCTGCCACTTGTACCATCCTGTCACTTCTACCATCCTGTCACTTCTACCAATTCTGTCACTTCAACCATCCTGCCACTTCTACCATCCTGTCACTTCTACCAATTCTGTCACTTCTACCATCCTGTCACTTCTACCATCCTGCCACTTCTACCATCCTGTTACTTCTACCATCCTGTCACTTCTACCATCCTGTCACTTCTACCATCCTGTCACTTCTACCATCCTGCCACTTCTACCATCCTGCCACTTCTACCATCCTGCCACTTCTACCATCCTGCCACTTCTACCATCCTGTCACTTCTACCATCCTGTCACTCCTATCACCCTGTCACTTCTACCATCCTGCCACTTCTACCATCCTGTCACTTCTACCATCCTGCCACTTCTACCATCCTGCCACTTGTACCATTCTGTCACTTCTACCATCCTGTCACTTCTACCAATTCTGTCACTTCAACCATCCTGCCACTTCTACCATCCTGTCACTTCTACCAATTCTGTCACTTCTACCATCCTGTCACTTCTACCATCCTGCCACTTCTACCATCCTGTCACTTCTACCATCCTGTCACTTCTACCATCCTGTCACTTCTACCATCCTGTCACTTCTACCATCCTGCCACTTCTACCATCCTGCCACTTGTACCATCCTGTCACTTCTACCATCCTGTCACTTCTACCAATTCTGTCACTTCAACCATCCTGCCACTTCTACCATCCTGTCACTTCTACCAATTCTGTCACTTCTACCATCCTGTCACTTCTACCATCCTGCCACTTCTACCATCCTGTTACTTCTACCATCCTGTCACTTCTACCATCCTGTCACTTCTACCATCCTGTCACTTCTACCATCCTGTCACTTCTACCATCCTGTCACTCCTACCACCCTGTCACTTCTACCATCCTGCCACTTCTACCATCCTGTCACTTCTACCATCCTGCCACTTCTACCATCCTGTCACTTCTACCATCCTGCCACTTCTACCATCCTGCCACTTCTACCATCCTGTCACTTCTACCATCCTGTCACTTCTACCAATTCTGTCACTTCAACCATCCTGCCACTTCTACCATCCTGTCACTTCTACCAATTCTGTCACTTCTACCATCCTGTCACTTCTACCATCCT